CGCCCGGGGCTGCTGGAGCCGGCGGGAGGTGCCGCAGCGCAGCCGGGAGTCTTAAAGCAGCCTGAGCCTCTTGTCGTGCCTGCGCAGTCAGAAAATGGGTGGAAAAAGCGGGGTTTTTTTCTTAAATTGTGCGTCCTGTTAATGAAAGCCCTTTCTCCTCCTCGCAAGCCTTGCTTCTCGCGCGGCTTCGGGCTGGCGCCCCTCCCGCCGGAGCCCCCCCCGACGGCTGGGCCCCGGCCGGTGCGCGGAGAAGCAGCACCTCCAAGAGAAGGGCCCGGTGCCCGGTTCCCCTCCCGGCCCTAAGGCCAGGGGCGAGGGAAGGGGGTGAAACGGCGCCGTGACGGAGGAAGACAAGAACAGAAGGCCTCGAGCGAGTCGCCCGCATCCGAACGTTTCAGCCGGCTGCCTTTGGTGGGGGCAGCGGCGGCGGGGGCTGCGGTGCTGTTTCGGCTCGGCGTGTCCCGAGAAGATCTCTGCCTGGGAACCCCCAGGATCAACTGCTGGCTTCTGAGCCTGGCTTTACATAAGAGTTTAAAGGCGGAGCGGGCTGAGGGCAGGGGAAGGTGAAGAGGGCAGCGAAGGCTCGATTGCAGGCAGCGGCGCGTGGATCCCGGCGGCCATCGTTGGTGTATTAATGCTGCTCGGACCGCTCCTACCGCTGCTTGGGCACCTGGCAGGCACCTCATGAGGAAAGCACGGGCCCGCTTTATGCGTTGAGCATTTTGGGGGGGGGGTCGGGTATCTGACCTTGCCGTCCCACTGGGTGTTTGAGCAGCGGGATCGGAAGGGACAGTCCCGTCCTCGCTCCTGCCGTGGGTTCCCAGCCTCCCCTGCGCGGGCGCTGGCGTTTGTGCAGCTGCGGGGAGCCTGCCCAGCCCCCTGACCTGGCTCCCCACACGGCTGTGCGAGGCTAATGCTGGCCACGTGCAGGGCCACGGCCGGGGGTGTTTGGGCTGGGGAAATCGACTGACGGCTGCCTAAACCTGTGGTGAACGGGTCGTAAGGACCCAGCTGCGGCAGGACTAAGTCACTGCCTGCGCTCTTGGAGTTAAATAGCGAAGCAATCCTCCAGAGGTGGGACGCGTTAAATTAGGATCCTTCTATAGCTTCCGAAATGTCCCCCGGGAAGGCGAGGGAGGCCGGGGCAAGCCGGGTGTGGTGAGAAGCTGCCTTGTCCCCGGGCAGTGCTGACGCAGCCCAGAGACTGCTCTCAAAAGGCTGTGCTGTGCTCCGGGGAAACTGTTTTTCTCGCGCGCGCTTTTTTCCCTTTCTCATTTCAGCTTATTTTTTGCCTGTTTAAAAAGTCCCCGAAGCAAGTGCTCATCTCTTCTGTGGAAGCTTGAAAGCCTGGGGTGGGGGGGTTGATTATAACTTCCGTGCCACTTCAGCTCTGCTCCCTGTTTCCACAACCCCTATGAAGTGTGTGTGGAAGGTCTTTGGTTCGGTGTTGCTGTGTGCAGTGAAAGAGCACCGTAAGCAGAGCGGGGAGCTCTGCCCTGTTGGTGTTTTCCTTCCTTCGGGGTGGCTCGGGCTGCGGGTGTTGTGACCCGGGCAACTTCTTCCCCCTTGGCCTCGGGGCAGGTGTCGGGCTGTAAAGTGGAGAGCTCCCGGCCGTGCCCTGTGTGGTGGGCTCAATCTCCTCCTTACCAAATGAATAAATCGTAAAGCAAAATGAAGTCCCGGCTGCCTCTACCTTTTGTAGGGGAGGTGGGGGAACGTGCTTGTAAATAATGCAGTATTTCTTCCCCTCCCTTTGTGCTGGTAATTCACTTTGAGCTGCAGCTTGCTGCTCGGCGCTTCTAGCTGTGTCCTCCTGCCTTTACCAGAATCCATCAGTTCTGGCTGCCTTTGCTCTTTGCCCTTCCCGTCTGCACCCAGGCTTGGCAGCCCCAACGCACCTCGTTCCCCTCCACAGCCCCGGTGCCGAGTTTCCCGTGGGGCTCTGCCGCGTGCCGCGTGATGAGGAAGTTTTGTTCCTATCTGAGCGTGTTTGATCATTGATTTTGTCTTGCTTCCCTCATGCCACCAGGTGCAGGGAGCCATGGCAGGAGCTATGGTGCGCATTGGTGACCAGCTCATCCTGGAAGAAAATTACGATGAGACGTACATTCCCAGCGAGCAAGGTAACCGATTGTCGTGGTTTAACCCCAGCTGGCAACTGAGCGCCACACAGCCGCTCGCTCACCCTCCCTTCTCCCGCACCGGTGAGAGAATCGGGGAGGGGGGGGGGGAAGTAAAACCCGTGGGTTGAGATAAAGACAGTTTAGTGGGACAGCAAAGGAAGAGAAAATACTAATAACAATAATGATAATATACAAAGCAAGTGATGCACGACGCAATTGCTTGCCACTCGCCGACCGATGCCCAGCCAGTCCCCGAGCAGCGGTCGCCGC